AATTAAAAGAAAAATAAACAGAATAACAGAGGAAGAAATAATAAAACATCAATGGAAAGATAATGAGTTAAAAGAAATAATATCAAAAATGAACAAGAAAGAAGAAATAGAAGAAGAGGAGGTAATGAAAATATTTAAAGAAGAAGAAATGAAAGAACAAGAAGATGTACAATTTATTAACTATTATTACAATAAGAAGAAAGTACATCAAATAATTAATATTATTAATAAAAATGAAATATTAATAAATACATTAGATGATTACTATCATTATATTAAAACGGTAGCTTCCACTATTAACATAATTAATAAAAATAAACAAGAAAGAAATGGAAAGAAAAGTATAGAAAGAATATTACAATCAAAAATATGTAGATTGAGAGATTTACTCCATAATAAACAATATATGAAATTAAAAAGAATATTACATATTAAGAAAAATGATATATCATATTAAAATAAAAACAAATGAACAAATAAAATATTATAAATACATCCGAAAGATGAAAATAATTGAAATAGAAGCAAGAAAGAATAATTTGAAAAGAATAAGATGGAAATATAAAATGATGAAATATGGAAAAGACAACATCTAAATAAATCTAAAGAAGATGAATATCCAGATAATATCTCCACTATTAATTTCTGGAAATGAATCTATGAAACTAATACTAATATAGATTTCCTGAATATTAATTTATATGAAGTATTAAATGAAAATAGAATTAATGATAAAATGTCTATAATCACTCCAAATGAATTAGATTGTGCTATTAAATTTATTGATAATTTAAAATTAAATTGAAAATGATAAAATACAATGATTCTTGATTAAATATTTAGAACAACCAAAGAAATATTTATTAAAATTATTTAATGAATGGTTAAACAATCCTAATGAAATACCTCTCCATTTTATTCAAGGAAGAACAATATTGATATATAAAAAATGAGATAAATTAGACACACAGAATTACAACACAATAACGTGTTTAAATTGTCTGTTAAAAATATATCCATCAATATTAAAAATGAAAATAGAAAATCAATTGATGCTGAGTCCAATTGAAAAACAACTTTCATTAAATCAATTTTGATGTAAGAAATATACATATGCATCAAAAGAAGGATTATTATACAACACTATAATCCAACAATTATTATTAAAGACTAAATGGAAGTGGGTAGAAACATATTATGACGTCTCCAAAGCATATGATAGTATTAACCACCAATGGATTAAACAATGTTTAATTTATTTTAATATCCCACTAGTAGTAATTAATAGTATATTATATATATTAAATAATACATATCTTAATTTGTATTACAATCAAGAAAGTGTGGGTATGATTAATGTAGAAAAAGGAATAATACAAGGTGATAAGTTTATCTCCACTTTTATTTGTATTATCTATTGACATACTATCTAAACAATTAGATAAACAAATAAGCAAATTAAATATTAAAATGAATTGAGAAGAAAAACAAGTCAAGTTAAATCACATATTGTATATGGATGATTTAAAGATAATGAATAATAGCCTCGAAGAAATGGAAAAAGCACACAAATTAACTAAAGAAATATTTAATGCAATAGGATTAAAAATTAATGTAGAAAAGAGTGGGATAATGACTAATATTAATAGTCAAATAAATGGTGAATTAGCTGAATTACCAAGAGTAACTAATGATAATCCTTATAAATATCTTGGTATTGAAATATGAGATAAAGTAAATATCAACAAATATTGTACAAGAATATTAAATGATGTATCTTCTATTCTATCATCATTAAATACTATGAAATACAGCAGCCTCAATACAATAAGAAAGATTAATAGTGATATAATCTCCAAATTAAGATATGGATTTAGTATTGTCAAATATAAACTAGGAGAATTGGAGAAGATAGATAAACAAATAAGAAATTCATTAATTCACCTCCAATTATACAGTAGAAATATTCCCAAAAGTAGATTATATGTTAAAATAAATGAATTGGGATTAATGTCAACAAGAGATGAATGTGGTAAAGAATTAATAAGAATATATTTAAAATATAAGTGGAGATCAAACACAGAAATAGGAGAAATGATAGAAGCAATAAAAGAAAATCCAAATGGAATAATTAAAAGAATGAAGAAAGCATTTTGTAAGAAGATTAATTTTAATGAATTAATGGAGATAATAGAAATAAATGAAAGAAAGCACAATGTAAAGGAAATATTTGAATGGGTAAATAATGAATTAAATGATATTTAAGTGAATGGAAAGAAAAGAAATGTGGTGAATATATAAGATGTGCAAATGGCACTTTCAATGATAAGAAATTAACAGTAGCAACATGGAGGTCATTAAACATAAAAAGAAATGCATTCCTCCAAATAGTAAAAATGCAAGAATGAGTAAGTATGACAGGAAGTATTAAATCAAAAATACTCCAAAATGATGCTTTAAAATATTGTAAACATTGTCCTAACACAATTGCATCTATTAGTCATATATTGTTAGGATGTCCTGTAATGAAAAAGAATCAAATATTAAAACATGATTATGTATGTAAACAACTATCAAAACATTTATTAATTACACATTTTAATGAATTTGATGCAATTGACTTTAATAATCCTCCTAAATGTATTAATAATGATAAAATGGTCATAACTTACAATAAAGATTTATTGGTTAATGACAATTCATTCCATACTAGAAGACAAGATATATAATATCAAAATATTACAGAAAAGAAAGGATATATTATAGATGTTGCTATATATCAAGATAATAATTTAGAATTAAATTATATTCACAAAATAAATAAATACAAAGAATTACAAGAGAAAATAAGAAATAATAGAGAATTAATATATGTAGAAATAATACCTGTTATATTATCAATAAATGGATTAATACATAAAGAGTCAGTAAGAAGAATAAAATCACTGAAATTACAATTAGACTTTTCCAAAATCCTACAAACAATTATTATCAAAAATATGAAAGACTTAATGTTTTACACATTCAATTCTGGCAGCACATTAGAAGCAGAACAATCTAATGCAAGCATGCTAGAAATGAACTCTATTACACCAATAGAGCATAATGAAGAAACTGAAATAATCACTTCTCAATAATCATAAAATCCAATTGAGGATATATCTAATAATTGACCTTTTTTTCTTTTATTTATTATTCTTGCGATTTTACATCTGTCATTCATTTCTTTATTTGTGTTTTTGTTTTTAATTTCTTCTTCTATAGACTTAATGTCTTTTTCATCTCAATCTTTTGTTTTTTCTTTAAACTCTTCTTTCGTCTTTTCAATTATCTTTTTCTTTTTGATTGAATATACTTCTTGAAAGATATCATACCATCTTTTCCTTTTACCTTCATATTTTTTAAGTATTTCTTCGTATTCTCCTTCATTCCATTCATTTGTTATTCTTTTTATTCTTTCTTGTATCTCATTTATTGTTAGCCATTTATATTTGTTATTTGTATAATCTTTATTATTATTGTATTTATCTTGTTTCTTATTTGTTTTTCTTTGTGTCTTTCGTCTTCTAAACCCTTTTTCTTTGGTATATCATTTACCTTTATTATTATAATTGTTATGCCATTTGTTGTTATTTTCATTCATTCTTTTATTGTATGATGTTGGATTTCTATGTCTTGTTTGCTTTTCTTTATAATACACATTGATAGTACATAATAACCATGACATAAAAATTTGTTGTATTTACTGCATTGGAAAAGTATGCTAATATGATAATTAAATTTAATAAATAAAACAAGTATATTCAATTAGAAGAATAAAAATATGATGGTAACACAAAGAATAATAAATATGCTTGATGTACCATCAAGATTCCTTTTATTAATATCATCATCTGTTTTACTTTCTGAACTATCAGAAGTACTTGCTGTTTTATTATCTATTTCTTGATTTCCATCTTTTTGATTATTCTTCTTTTCATCTTCTGGTGTGTTGTTTGGTTGCTGGTTATTTTGGTTGGTGTTATCTGGTTTATTACTATCATTATCTTTTTTACTTTTTTCATCTTCTGGTTGATTTTTCCCTTCTTGTGGTTGATGAGGTTGTTCTTGGTTTTGTGTTTTCTCGTCTTTTTCATGTTTCTCTTTTTGTGATGGGGTTTCTTCTTGGATTCGTGGTGGTACTAACCCACCTTGTTGTTGTCCTTGTTCAGTTTGAGTTCCTTCGGTTTTGGGATTATTTGATAGTGAATGTTCCTCGTCTTGTGATGGTTTTTCTTCACCTGTATTTTTTTGTTGTCCTTCGGCTTGATCACTTGTGTTTTTCTCATTTTCATCAGCTCCTTTTTGTTGTGAAGAACTTTCTCCTTTCTGTTGTGTTGGTACATTGTCTCCTTCCTGTAGTTGTGATGTTTTTGGTATTTGTGGTTCTTTTTGTTCGTCTTGGTGTGGTTGGTTTTGTGTATTTTCTTCATGTGTTGGAGGTATTTCCAAAGGCTTAGCTTCTTTTTCTGGTGGGGGTTGCTTCGATTCTGTTGGTGTTGATATTTTTGATGACAGTTTTTTTGAGTTTTCTGAAACTGTTTTTTGTTCTTCTGTTTCATTTGGTGTTGATGTAGCTGGCGTTTCTTCCTTTTCTTTTGTTGGTTCTTTTACTGATGGTACTGTTTCAGATTCACTTTTTAATTCTGCTTTATATAAATTGTACATTATTTTATGTTTATTTGAATATATTTGTGTGTGTATTACTTTTGTATTATTAATACTCTCTATTGCATTAGTAATTACAATAATCAATAGAAATATAAACATTGAATGAAATGTATGTAAGTTCTTCCCTTTAAATATACTCTCTTCCTTTTCTATTATTATCTTTTATTTGCATTTTATTTCTTAATGATTCAATTATTTATTTTTCTTCATTTCATCATATTGTTGTATTGTTGTATTTTGAACTTCAATAATAAATAGAATGAAATGAAATATTAAATTAAAATTTAATTCATTTTTGTAGTTTAATCAACAAAATTAAATAAACATTAAATTTAATAAAATAAATCATAAACAATAACAACAATGAAAAAATGAATAATAATTTCAATTCATAATTCAAATCATTATCATTTCAGTTCATTTTCTGGTACGAAAATTAACAAAGAAAAAATGCATCTAAATAATTTACAAAAAAGAAAAAAGATGAAAAATAATTTGCATAATTAGAATATTCCATTTATTATATTTTGCTCCTAAAATAAATAAAAAATATGATAAATACAGAATATATAAATATTTATGTTTATATTTTATAATCATTTCTATTCATTTTGTATGAAATATTAATGAAATAGATTATTTGATTATTCATATT